CGCCCGCGCCGAGCCAGCGGCGCGTCCCCGCCTCCGCCCCCCGCCGCCGGTCGCGAGCGGCATTTAGAAGACGGAGGGTCCTTTGCAAGGGGTGGGCAGGCAGAGCCAGGGAGGAGGTGTTGGCACCCGGGGACGGGGCGAGGAGGCGGGTGAACCCCTGTGCTGTCAAGTCACGGAAAGTTTCGGCTCCCGAGGGACCGCAGGCGCTGGCGAGTGCCGCTGAGACTCCCCCTCCTTGGGGAGGGGAGCTCCCGCCGCTGGCGGAGGTGTCCTGGTGGCGCGGTCCTGCGAGGCGGCGTGTTCACCTGTGGTCGGTTGCTTCTAAAGGGGAAAAAAAAAAAAAAAAAAAAGGCACTGAAAGAGGGGAGACGAAGGTGCTTGGCAATATCAGCGTGCGCTGCCTGGAAACTCGGGTCTTGCTTGATCCAGAGTCATCACTGCAGTATCATTTCGTATTTTAGTATTTACAGCCAATACCGCTGTAAGAGTCTGTCATGGTTTCATGAAGTTGTGTCTCATGCCACTTCGATCCTCAGTGATTTGAAGGTGCCTGGTGTGTGTTTGATTATGGTAACCTTAACGGCTTCACTCTGCTTTACACAGTAAAGTTTGAAGAAGAAGATATGGTAACTTTTTAGCATGTTCTACTCAAGTAAAGGCTGTGGTGAATAAAGGAACGTGTGCCTTTTTCACCATTTACATCTCACATCACTCATCCCAGTCATCAGCTCCAAACTTGTTTCTCTTGTTTGTGGTCTCTTCTCAAATCAGTGTCCCATTTATTTTATGCAGTGTAGCAAATATACACTGATAGATTTGTAGAATGTGAGAGAGAACTGTATGCTTTAGGTCCATAAATATTATTAAACTGTTTTGAAGTACGAAGATAAAATCTAAATCTTTTTTCAGAATGTTATGCTGACTTCTTCAGAGAAGACTTTGATGTGAAAGCTTACACTTCCCAGTCTATCCATCAGGCCGTGATAGCTGAGCAACTGGCAAAGCTTGCCCAAGGTATCAGTCAGTTGGATAAAGAACTTCATTTACAAGTAAGTTTAAAGCATACCTGTTATTCTGGAGTGGTTGAGACAAAGTAGTCAAAAGTTTAGTAATCTTATGATCTTGTTGCTTCTGAAATTGCCGGGTGTATTCTGCAAGCATCAACTAAAGGTACAGTTTGCAGCAAAGTGAGTTGTGAATCTGACACTTAACTCCATCAGGCTCACACTTAATGCTCCTACAAGAAGCCACATACCGGTTTGCTTTCAGTTCCTGCAGCCAATCTCTGTACGGATGAAGGTTCCACTCTTCCTTGTAAGGATGTTCCCTGACTTCAAATGATCATGTCAGCTATCAGAAACTCTGGCCTGTGTTTTGTGATGACAGTTGTGAGAAGACAGGGAATGATTTAACTTGCACGCTTTCATCCTGTGCTGGAGAGTAGCCTTGGCTCTAAGGCTTACATGTAGCTGGGCAAATATAAGCTATGTTAACACACCTCCACACCTTTAGAAGGGCTTTTGAGTTTGGATAGTAGAAGTCTTTTTGGTAAAATCTATGCAGACACCACAGATCCACAGTGGATCTTGCAATGAGAACACATGCCAATTTTGTGTGTAGTTTCAAAACCGACTTCCTGCCCCAATTAGTAAATTCTTTGGGAACTAGTTTCTAAATGTCATAAATAAAAAGAAACTATTTAAAATGTGAATATATGTTATTACTGTGTTATTAATAAGCTTACCTTTACAATTACTATTATATCTGAAAGTGTTGAAATGTGATTACTCTGCTGGCTTTAATTAAGATGTCAGCTACACTGCAGTCACTGACCCTCCATTCTGAGCTTGTCGCTTCTGTGAATTAAAACATGCTCTGAAATCACTTTCATCTTTAAGGTTTGGCTGCTTTTTCCTGTGTCTGCCTAATGTAGGGGTGATGATATTTTAAGGCCTAATGTAGGAATGATGATATATTAATATTCCTTTCAGGCACACATACCCATTTTTCTGTGTTGATTTCTCTATTCTTTTTTTTTTAAGGTTGTTGCAAGACATGAAGACCTGTTGGCCCAAGCAACTGGAATTGAATCCCTGGAAGGTAAATACTGTGGTATTTTGCTTGCTAATTCTTATGATGGAGGAAGCACTTTTAATATCTGTGCAGGGAACATTGTTTCCTGCCAACTTTGGCCCCTAATGTTAGGGTTTCAAGAAGGAACATATGGCAGCTTTTTTTTGATGTCAGTAGATGGAGCTCCAGGGAGAAGATTTGGCTGATACTTCTCTGGCATAAATGCTTTATAGGAAAACATATTTTGGTAGTCAGTTCTGAGCAACTTTAGCAATCAAGTCTTTTTAATCTTTTAATATATGTTTCTAAATAAGCTTAATTTTGTTGCAACGTTACCTGGTACCTGTTGCTGTAAGTACCAAGTTTGTGCATATGCATGTGCTACATACTTTGTGAATCTTAATCAAAGAGGCTTTAACACATAATCTTAACTGCATTGTGATATTTTTTTCATGGTAAGGGACTATTAAATTAAATACATACCTTTGTGTTATTCCACTGTTTGGGAACTACTTCACTGTCATGAGACCACACCTGGAGTACTGTGTTCAGCTCTGGGTCCCCCAACATAAGGACAGGAACCTGCTTGAGAGGATCCAGAGGAGGGACACAAAGATGAGCAGGGTCTGGAGCACCTGCCTTGTGAGGACAGGCTGAGAGAGTTGGGGTTGTTCAGTCCAGAGAAGACAAGGCTCTGGGGAGACTCAGGGAGTGTAGTGATAGGATGAAGGGTAATGAGTTTTAAACTGAAAGAGGGTACATTTAGATTAGATGTAAGGAAGAAGTTCTTCACTGTGAGGTGGTGAGACACTGGCACAGGTTGCCCAGAGAAGCTGTGGCTGCCCCCTCCCTGGCTGTGTTCAAGGCCAGGTTGGACGGGGCTTTGAGCAACCTGGGCTAGTGGAAGGTGTCCCTGCCCATGGCACAGGGGTTGGAACTAGATGGTCTTTAAGGTTCCTTCCAACCCAAACCATTCTATGACTCTGTGACTTTAACATAAACTGCTGACTTTCAAAGGCCTTATTTAGGAGCCATTGAATCTATACAGAAAAATGACTGCAGTCTATTATTCTTGTGCCAGAAAGTCATTAGACCTGCCGTTCTGCTCTTTGTCACTTGCTGGGAACTTGATACAGTTTTGGGTGTTTTTTTGTGCAGGAAAATATTTACTTCTACAACATGCTAATTTGCATATACTGTGGGATCCAAGCATATTCTCTTTTCCCCTTCTGTTTTGTAACTTGCTAAGTAATTTTTCTTTGTTCCTTCTTGTGCTTCCAGATTTTGACATAACCAGAGAGTTTTTGGTTGCTGGCAGTTATAGTATCTTCTTAGTCTTTGGAACTTGTTCAATCCAGTATTCGATTGTTAGCCTATTGTTAGCCTAGCTACAAAAATAAAGAACTGCCTATTTAATCTAGCAATGGTAGCCCCTGAATAGCTTTTTTAACAGTTGGAAAATTAAGCATAGGAAGACTGGAATCTATGTTCATCGTCAAAATAAGAAGTAGATAGGATTCTGTCATCAGTCTTGTGATTGATAAATACATCCCAGTCATGATCTTCAGCAACTTGTGCTCAGTGGAATTGTGTTTTCTGAAATCATGGTTGTTTCTGAAGGCATTCCTTCCTAAAATTGCTCGGAGGAAAGAATGAAGTACTTCAAAACAACTGTTCAGTTATAAAACATTTCTATAAGGCAGATATAATTATTATGCATGTTTTACAGCTAATAACCCAAAGTAAAAATAAAATCTATTTCACCTTAAATTTGTTGAAATGTCTCAGTTTACTTAGGGTTATGCTCTTTAAGAGGCCTTTTCTGTGTGTGAGGGAAGGAGAAGCATGTGGAGGTTCTGATCCTGAAAAATATTTGATACTTGAGACATCGGTAGAAACTTCAGACTGCAGTTGCCAGGAAAAACAAAAGTCTACGCACACAAAGATGATGTTTTAAGTTTTGCAAAACTTTCTCATCTCTGCCCTGCTTATGTGACACGTAATACATGGTCGCTGTAGAGAAACATTGAATCAGGATTCATAAGAAAAAGAAATGATGGATGTCAACAGAAATTTTGACTACGAAGTAAGAAATGCGTAGCTCTTGGTATGTTTATCAAGAAAGTTAGTGAAGATTATGGAACTCATTCACAAGGATGCACAATCATTAGGATGTGCAAAAGTGAATCTCATTAAACATTTCAAATTGATATACTTGGCTTGTAGAGTCCTTTCTTTTTTAGGTCCATGCACTTTTTTAATGGTACACTCATCTGGTATACATACTCTTTTCTGTCAGTAAGTAGCTCAAGACAGGTTAAATAGTATCATCCCCTAATTTACACAGCAGATGGGGAGGATAGATGGCTGTTTCACCCATCCTAATTCTGCCTGCTGTCAAGAGGAGTGCTGTATGCTTTATAGCAATGTCACAGCCATAGATGTAGCAATGTCATGCTGCTGGCCCTCCCCCATTATTGCAATGTAGCATGGAAAATTCAGCCTATTTTGCCAACTTTTCATTGTATCTCATATCTTCATCCTCTGGTGTGTGAGAATTGCATGCCTACCATTCCATGTATAAATGTCAGGGAACTCCCAAGTCTGTCCCTAAGCCAAGTTAATAATTCTGAAATATGGAGAAGGTAAGAGTTTAATATTTATACAAAATACGTGAGATATGGTCCTAGTACAGGACAAGCTGAGTAAAACTATTAGCAGTAGTTCTATTAATCTTCCATCTTAGTGTATCATATTGCAGGTTTATCCAATGT